AAAGCTTATTGGATCATACTGTGGCTGAAGAATTCTACAAGGAACAACGGAGAATGCAATTGTGCAATCGATTAAAAGTGAACTCATCACTGATTCTCAAATGGGGATGTGACGGTTCATCAGGACATTCTCAATACAAACAAACACTCTCCGATGAAAACGTCACAGATGCAAACATGTTTTTGACGTCAGTTGTGCCCTTGTCCTTATCTGAAAACCACGATGCTTCCATAGTTCGTTGGGAAAATCATAGACCATCCTCTACACGATTTTGTCGGCCTCTTAAATTTGAATATATCAAAGAAACAGCAGAGGTAATACGAAATGAAGTGGAAAGAGTGGAACGGGAAATTTCGAATTTGACACCTTCCGTCATCAAGTTAACGGGAAAAACTTTCACTGTTAACCACACCCTAGTATTGAATATGATAGATGGAAAAGTTGCGCAAACAGTGGTTGGAGCATCATCAATGGCTGTTTGTTGTGTATGTAATGGTAAGCCTTCAGATTTTAATAATTTGGAACTTGTGAAAAGTAAACCAGGGGCAAACAAGGCGATACAGATGGGCTTCTCTCCATTGCATGCTCGCATAAAATTCATGGAATGTGTGTTACATATTGCATATAATAAAGAGTTTGCTGCTTGGCGAGTTAATCAGGAAACAATTATATATAATATAGCTAAATAAATATAAATTCATAAAAAATAATATCTTAATTTTTTTTTTTTTTTTTTGTTAATAAATTTATTAGAATTAAAACTTTACCGAAAATCATAAAAAAAGGAAAACATCGCAATTGAGAGCGATACCCCAAAAAAACTTAAAAACGTCCCGAGGTATAAAACAGCTCTTTTAAAATACTCACAAATAATGGAAATCCTCCATCCCCCCACAAAATGGAGGTTACTTAAAATTTTTGTAAAAAATGCACGCATTTTTGTTTTACCCTGTATTATGGGTATTGGCCAATAATTAAATAAACTGCAAAGAACGGTTCGACAGTCGATAAAAAAGCGTTTCAGAATCTGACTAGCAATTCAAAATGCCTTCAATAGTTTAGAAAATACAAAAAGTCCAACTTGATGCAAAAATTTTCACTTTACGTTTCAATTGGTGCTCAGTTTACTTTTAAATAAATTTATTAAACCATGTTATTTGATGTATTTTATTAAGCTGAATCGAATAAAATTCGTCCCGATGCGATTGGATTAACGGTTTAGGAAATATAGGGTTTTTTCGTTATATTATCAGTTTCACACCACTGTGCGCCGTAATTGTTAAAAAGTTTAACGATATTGAGAAGAACTTCAACGCATAATTCACAGAACAGCTATCTAGCAACTACCGCACCTGATCGTTCGACCTTGTGGCAAGTGAAAAAATGCGTAAATATCTAGAAATAATAAGAAAAAACAGTAAATTGGCAGAAGAATTTATCCTTATCATTTACTCTGGTAAATGTTTAAATAAACTTTTCAAATTTCAATCCTTCATATTTTCTCAATGACTCGACCGATTTTCAAAAACGAAGCGGGAAAGTATAGAGAATAGAAAGCCCTTTTCATTGCGGTACCACTTGAACCCCCTTCCCCTTTGAAAAAAATTGGGGGATGACACCCCCGCTTAGAGGGTTGAAGATTTTTCAATCATTTTTGGGGCAAAAGTTGTCCCCCTCACAAACAAAATTGATGTGTTTTTGGATTTTCTGAAAAAAAATTTACCCTGGCCGTTATGCCTTGCGGAACGTTTTTGATGGGCCACCCTGTATTTTACCTAATTTATTATTACATATTACTATTAGTCCATCCTACAGCAATTTTAAATAAAAAAAATAATGGTATTTAAGATTATTACGAAAAACCTAATTTTAAAATTTTTTAACGTCCTGATGTAAAAGCTAAAACTATGCATTTCAATACCGTAAAATGGGGTGAATAGAAACAGTTTCGTAGGCTATTAGCGATATACCGGTTGATAAAAATGTGGTATAATTCTCCCGAATATTTTAAAACATGGGTCTTTGTTTGTTCTTTGCGTATACATATAATTTGACTTTTGAAATATATGCGTATAAATATTAAATAAAAATAACATTTGTGTTTCTATTCACCTGCTATTCGGGAGAATAGAAACACACATTGATGTTAAGGTTTTTATCTATTCTACTTCCAACAAGGTGATTAGAAACAGTAAATTATTACATATTTAAGTAGGTTTAACAATAATTAACATTGAATAATAACTATTTTTAATCAAAAACATTTATTTTTTTTATGAAATACAAAAATATAGTAAACCTATTCTAAGCATCTTATATCAAAGTCAAATTCTTTAAGGCCTCTTCTAAACTCTTCAGGAGGATTAAGCTTCCCAATAATTTGGGTATATTCAAATTCAGAGATATCTGGAATATTGGGCAATCCATAAATGTATCCTTTAAAGTCCCTTGAATCTCTTTCGCGATAAAATTCTCCCTCAAAGTTGCCGTTTCCAATAAGGGCTCTTACTCTTCCTATATAAGGTTTCTTATTTGAAGTAGAACTACAAGCCTTTGTTGTGCTTACAAAAAAATTAACAACTAGCCAATCACCTTCTCGAATGTCCTCTTTGTTTATTTTAAATGGGTAAATAGTGGTGGACTTTGTTGAAATTGAGCTTGTTCATTCCTTTCATAGACACAGATCCAGCAGATGTACTATAAATAGACTTGTTCATTTAAGCACAATAAATCCAAATGTTCTGAAAAAAGAAAACAAAAGTATGAGGTGAATAGAAACAGTGTTTCTATTCACCACACAACCTAAAAAAAGTGTTTTATTTACAAAAACTATTATTTTTGAAAAGTTTATACAGTTGATTAGAATTATCAATTGAGTACCATGAAAAAATACATATAATATAACAACTTACATGTACCAGCTTATGTATTACTTTAAAAATAAATATTTTATTTATAAAGTTTTCGCGCCATACAAAATAGGTGATAAATCGATCTCACATTTATTGATCAGCTGATTGACAGAAACAGTGCTGCCACAGATAAAAATATAGTTTTTACATTTTATTATGTATTACCAATGATAGAAAAATTAGATATGCCGACTCTTTTTACTTTGAATATTTTTAATCGTAATTTGATTTTTTTCAGAAATGTTGTTTCTGAATGTTTTCAAATGTTTATAGGATTTTTTTTTCATATTTTTTATGGACTATTTCCATTCTAAATACCTATTTTGAAAACGGTTCCTCGTAGCGATTTTTATCAAGAAACATTTTTTACGTAAAAAATCAGGGATATGTATATTTTTTTACTGCATAGTTTTATACAGGTACGGACAGAAAGTTATTACTCTTCAAATCAGCCATAACACATGTAGGTGGCGCCCTCTGCAAGTAGGAGTCACATTGATATCAAAATCAAATATCTTATGTCAAAAAACTCCCAGACACTAATTTTCAGCCAAATATTGACGTTACCTCATATATTATTTGAAAAAAATCGAAATAAAAATAAAACTTACACACCCTGTATCTCCAAAAGTTTTTTGTTTATTTTTATCTGCAGAATATGCTGCCGAAGTTTCCAAAATACAGTTCAGACCACCCTGTATATGCGCCAAAGAAAATGCGCAATTTTTGACATCTCTTTTTGGCAAAAAACCTCATAGACGTGTTCCTGGATCGAAATATTCCAGCACTAAAAATATTTCTACTTATTAAAGACTTACACTAATTTACACATAATATTATTCCCAAAAGCAATGCTTGCTGCAGTTGGGAGTAGTATCGTAAATGACGAATGGCTATATTTTCTAAACATACTGCAAAATTCATCGAAAGACATAAATAATTTTCGGAACCAACGAAAACGGATTATTCGCCTTGTACCTCCTATTAAAACTCCTCTGTCATCTGTCAAACTATTCCCCGAGCGAGTGCAAGTCGTCCCCGAACAATATTACAGCCTGCGGAGGCAAGGAACAGAATATAAAATCAATTTAAGGCAGACCGGGACGGGAATCTAGCTTTTAGGGTACAGAACAATAAGGCAGAGAATGGCGAAACTTGGGTAAAGAGCGTTAACTCAATATTCGCGAGCGTTGTCTTAAGTTTTCTGGATAATTTGCATGGCGGCGGCCATTTTGAAAGGTTCTGTGGATGGGGAAGAGGTGAAACAGGGGCGGAATTAGATAACGGTGAATCGTGCACTTAGAAATTATGAAAAACTTTAAAATTTCATAGTAAAATCTAAAATATAAGTTTTATTTTTGATTTCTCCTTGATTGAGAAAATACCAAGGATTTTTTCGTGTAATTATGTGATATTATTTCAAAATTAGTAGCTTCTATGTGTTGAAACAATATTTAAGAGTCATAAAATATTAAATACTAGACTTTTAACCAGTATGTGAGATGATCAAAATTTTAAAATTGTTCATGATTAAACATCAACAAAAAGTCGTTTACCGCATATAGGGCTCTCTCCAGTAAATATAATTTCAGAGCTTTGCAAAATGCGGGAAAGAATGAAAGCGACTTGATATTCGAAGGCAGATGATTGTACATTTTTTTAGCATTGTACAGGGTGGTCGAAATTGGTCTGTTTTAACAGAGAAAACCTATTTCCTGACTAGATAGAGCAAAACCGACATAGATGTCATAGGCTCGATTTCTGAGACACGTCTAATGGCATAAACCGCCTGTTGATATTTTCACTGCTGACTGAGATACGGGGTCTTTTTTAATTTTTAACCATTTGGAAAATTGCCCATAACTTTTGTATTTCGCGGAATAATAAAATTCTGTTAAAACATACTTAAGGCACTTGTTTAAGCACAATCCAGTGGCGTAGTCAGTTTTTTTCTATACTTGCTTTTTTGTCAGAAATACTAAAAAATATAATTTTTTAAATACAAATCATAGTTGGCTATGAACTTAAAAAAATGCTGGCGTTTAGTCCTTTCAAACGATACAAAGTTATGTGTATTTATTTCTAAAAATGAGAGAAATAATAAGTTTTTTTACCTTTGTGTCCACGCCATGGTTCACGCCAGAAATAAAGGAATTGTCCAGCCAAAAGAAAGAATTTTATATACGGTATCTACGAAACAAAACTCCAGAGAATTGGAACAGCTACAAAAATGAACGAAACAGAGTAAACGCGACGATAAGAGCGATTATAGAAGACTATTGGGAAAGATTCACGAAAGGAATGGAAAGGGACATGTATGGAAGCCAGAGAAGAATTTGGGGAATGTTAAGGAGAAACAAACAAGAAATAAAAGATACAGTACAAACAAACAAAATTACTATAGATCAGTGGGAAACGTACTTTAAAAATCTATATAGGGAAACAGAACAAATCGAGCAGCCTATAATAGACACGGAAGACGACAACAATATAGAACTAACGATTGAGATGATAGAAGATAATTTTAAATCCCTCAAAAATCGAAAGAGCCCAGGTCCTAATGAAATCACGAACGAAATGCTCAAATACGGCGGACCCAACCTGCAGAAAGAAATATTAGCATTTTTTCAGAACATAATTAGTAAACAGAAAATACCCGCCGAATGGAAGAACAGCACAACGATACCCATATTTAAAAAAGGTCAAAAAACAGTCCCAGAAAACTATCGCGGAATAACATTATTAGACAGCACCTTAAAAGCATTCACTAAGACAATACTACAGGAAATCAGTAAAACTATACAAATTAGAGACGAACAACAAGGATTCCGCAAAACCGCTCGACTATTGACGCAATATTCATTATTAACAAATCGTTGAAAAGTCCCTGGAACTTAATAAGCCAGCGTATATGTGTTTTGTAGATATGACAAAAGCTTTCGATAGAGTACGCCTGACAGATATATTGCAGATTCTAGAAACAAAAGGACTAAACCCGAGACTAATCAACTTAATATATGACATCAACACCAACTGCAAAACAGCAATAAAAGTTCAACATCTGTTTACTAACGAGATACTCATCCAAACAGGAATAAGACAAGGTGACTCCCTCAGCCCATTTATATTTAACTTAATCATGGATCAAATAATAGAAAATCTACCAAAAACGGCAGGTTACAAAATGGGAAACACCTTCTTCCACGTTGTATGCTACGCTGATGATGCAGTACTCATTGCAGATACAGAGGACAATCTTCAGAGACTACTACATGCGTTTAATCTAAAGGCCAAACAATTAAACATGATAATCAACACCGAAAAAACAAAATGCCTGGTAACATCCAAGGAGGCGGTAAGGTGCAAACTGGAAGTGGACTCAAAACTGATCGAACAAGTGAATCACTTTCAGTATCTAGGGGTTGGAATATCAAGTTATGGCAACCTGCAGAAAGAAGTTAGAGAACACACTATGAAGGCGTCTCGCATTTCGGGCTGTTTAAATGACATCGTCTGGAGGAACAAGTATCTCAACACAGAGAGCAAGATTAGAATATATAAAGCCGCGATAAGACCAGTCATCACGTACGCAGCCGAAACAAGACCAGACACGGCCAAAACAATGCAAATGATGAGAACAACAGAAATGAAGGTGCTGAGAAGCATACACGGAAAAACACTACATGATAGAGCGAGAAACGAAGATATTAGAGAGTGGAGCAAAATCCAGGATATAGGAAGATGGGTTAGACAAAGGAGAAGGCACTGGAACAAACACGTAAGAAGAATGGACGACAACAGACTAGCAAAAAAAGCGCAACAAAACAACCCAATTGGAAAAAGGTCGCAAGGAAGGCCGCCAAAACGGTGGAGAGAATGCTGGACGTCGTCCTCCGGGGAAGACTTGTTAGGATTGAACAGGCGATAGCCTACCTATATGGGCAACCATAATAGAAAGAAAGAAGAAGAAGAAGACCTTTGTGTCGAAGCGGGCCTTGATTTTGTGTTGACCTATAGTTGCTGAATTATTTTTTATCACAATTTAATATTCTATATTATTATTTATCTGCATAATTAAAGGCTTTTGAAAAGGTAAATCAACATTCTATATTTGTATTACCATTTACAATTAAAACGCCAGGGTTACAACTACTGCACTATTAACTAGAGAATTTAGAGAGAATTGGATTGGAACAAAGGGCCCCATATCTTGGCCCCCATATCTAGGCGTGCTAAGTCCTGTAATTTAACTCCTTTCAACTTTTTTATGGGGAAAATTAAAAGACCTTATCGATAAGTGACGAACCATTGGGACGAGAGAAGAATTGCAAAAGATTACTAGGTAAGTTTTTGGACTTATTACACTAGTTTGCCTAATAAATCGTTGTAACTCTGTGCGCAAAAGACGTTTATTGTGTATTCAACAAGGAAGTGTTCAGTTTGAACATCTTTGATGATATTTTTTAGAAAACTATATTCGCCACACAAAAAATACATTTTTTAGTCTTGTTCTTGTTTATTGTATCGATTTCAATTGTAATTAATAATACTAATATACAGGGTCCGGCAATAGTGCGTCGGGCATCTGTAGCTCCTATAATAAAAAACTTAAGAATTTTGTTTAAGTGCAAACCTAAAGTATGTACCAGGATGTAATTCAGGAAAATATTTTAACTTCTATAGGGTGGCTCAAAAAAGTGTGAGTGGACCTGGATGATTTTTTATAAATGGAACACCCTGTATATTATTGCATTTTTGGCTTCCTTTCAGATCACTTTACATAACCCTAAGATATGAATAAATATATTTCGATAGTTTCAGAGATATTAAAAAATAAATCAAAAAAATATATTTTTCAGCCCTTCTTAAAAAAATTATTAAAAATACAAGAACTGATCTGAAATCAAAACTATATGAGGTATTTACTTTAGATGGTCTGTTCTTACTTTGCTATAAATATGGTAATCGTAAATCATACAGGATGTTCAATATTCAACGCCAAACTTTCTAAAAAATAAAATAATTTTTCTTTGTTTTTTTAAATGGAACACCCTGTATATTATTTTTTTATTAAATGGAGAGTTAAAAGATGAACATTTTTTGTATTTAGAGTATTTCAGAATTTTTATCGGTTTCGCAGATACACGCAGTATTATTTCATATGGCGCTTTCAATGGTAAAATACGAGAGAAAAATCATTGGGTGTGTGGCTTTGATAAAAATTTACTGTGGAAAATTCCATATGAAATATAAAACCGCAAATATCTGCGAAACCATTAAAATTTTTTAAATACTCTAGATACAAAAAATGTTCATTTTTTAATTCTCCATCTATTGAAAAAATAATATACAGGGTGTTCCATTTAAAAAAACGAAGAAAAATTATTTTATATTTTAGAAAGTTTGGCGTAGAATTTTGAACATCCTGTATAATTTAAGATTTTCATATTTATAGCAAAGTAAGTACAGACCATCTAAAGTAAATACTTAGTATAGTTTTGATTTCAGAACAGTTCTTGTATTTTTAATATTTTTTTAAGAAGGGCTGAAAAATATATATTTTTGATTTATTTTTTAATATCTCTGAAACTATCGAAATGTATTTATTCATATCTTAGAGTTATGTAAAGTGATCTGAAAGGAAGCCAAAAATGCAATAATATACAGGGTGGTCCATTTAAAAAAAATCATCCAGGTCCACTCACACTTTTTTGAGCCACCCTATTGAAGTTAAAATATTTTCCTGAAATACATCCTGGTACATAGTTCAGGTATGCACTTAAACAAAATTCTCAAGTTTTTTATTCTAGGGGCTACAGATGCCCGACGCACGGACCCTATAGAATGATAATTTACCTTTCCAAAAGTTTTTAATTATGCAGATAAATAATAATATTGAATATTAAATTGTGATAAAAAATAATTAGGCACATAGGTCATCACAAAATCAAGGCCCGCTTCGATATAAAGATAAAAACCTAATATTTCTCTTATTCTTAGAAATAGATACGCCTAACTTTATATCGTTGAAAAGGGTTAAACGCCAGCATTTTTTTAAGTTCATAGCCAACTACGATTTCCATTAAAAAAATAATATTTTTTATTATTTGTGACAAAATGAGCAAGAATAGAAAAAAACTGACTACGCAACTGGATTGTGCTTAGAAAAGTGCCTTAAGAACGTTTTTACAGAATTTTATTATGCCGCAAAATAAAAAAGTTATGAGCAATTTTCAAAATGGTAAAAAAATCAAAAATACCCCGTATCTCAGTTGGCAGTGAAAATATCAACAGGCGGTTTACACCATTAAACGTGTCTCAGAAATCGAGCCCATGACATCTATATCGATTTTGCTCTATCTAGTCAGGAAATAGGTTTTCTCTGTTAAAACAGACCAATTTCGACCACCCTGTACAGTATTGAGCCTTTAACTAGTTCTGAGCTCGGGGTTGGCGGATAAAGATCGTGCTCCGCATTCCTAAGTGGATAGTTCTGAGATGGCCTTTCGGGAATAGCAGATATGTGGTTGCGGGTTAAGCAAACGGATAATTTGTGCTTGTAGATCTTCAGGGCTACCGACTGTTATATTATTTTATACTAAAAGAAAAAGAAACATCTCACAGTTGTCGACAATTTAAAAATAGACTGATGTTAATCGCATTCACGTTTTAGCCCAGCTCTAGATTATTCTAAATGACAGATAATCTTGCAAGACAAGCAAATCTTCATCTTAAAGGCATCTTAAAGACCCCACAGCGGCTGGTCCTAAAATAGCCAACTAAATTTAATGGGGGTCGTTCCGAACTTAACCTTACCATGGTATAATTTATTTGTTTTCGGTGCTTTCGAGTTAATGTGCCCGTTTTATCATTTAAATTGGCCGGATTCCAAAGCGGTGGAGCCCTAGCCGGCCGCCCTCGTTGCCAGCCCCCCCATCTCGCAGTAAAATTCCCCTTAAATAGTCCCTAAATAAAATAATGGGCGAAGAGGAAAGTAGAGATTTCAGCATGGCGTAGCATTTCTGGCTGGTGTTTTATGTCTCAAGATTTTCAGGGCTAGTTGGGGTCGGAAAATATATGAAAATAAAATTTGTTTATTTTGTCTACCAATAATACCATATGATACGAGGTGTATAGACGTCATTTACATGATCCTTACCTTTCTTTAGTTTTTAATGGCGCTTACTTGTTGGCCTTAAGAAGATTGTAATTTATTTTTATATTGATTAAAATTATTTTCAAATCGTGTAGTTTAAAACTGGAGTAAAATAATTGTGTGGAAATAGATTTATCTACGTCACTGAGTTAAGAAGCTCTAAATTCACGCATTTTCAGTGAATTAAGAGCTTCTTAATTCACGCATTTTCATTACCGCACTCCTTGTTTAGATGATTACCAAAGAGAAAAAACATTTTGTAAAACATTTATTTTGTACTAAATTGGAAAAATATGTTATGAGTACCTTTTCATTTTCATAGTTGTGTACTTTTTTTTCGGTGCACAATTGTATATTCATACTTCTGTTTCGATCTTGCTGGAAGCAATCCAGAAATGGCTCTGAATGCCTCTTCTTCAGTGTCAGAGGGAATACTTTCCGAAGCGCTAATTTTTTAAACTAGTGATATCAATATTATTTACTGTCATATTGGCATTGCCATGCATGGTGTTATTTGAACAAAGGTATTAAGGTAATCCATTTTTAAGGATATGTATACTAAGGGCTGGCAAAGGTTAGACTTGGGTCGAGATTTCCGTATGTAAGAAGAGTACAATGCGTTTATAATGTACTGAACAAAGAGAGGACAGTAAACACGTTGCCAAACGTATGAAATAAACCGAGAAACTGTGCACATCGCTAAGAGACGTGGAAGGGGATATAT